GGACTTGGACTAGTAAATGCAAAGAAATACACAGATGGCCTTTGTCAAGAGATATAATTATATTCTAGTTCATTCTTTTCTTTTTGGGGGGAGAGGGGAAGAGGGGTTTACACAGTGTTAGATACAGTACTTGATGTAATCTGATTATGTCATTACACTTTACCAGTCATAATAATGTTTATGGTAGAGCACAACCTGGGGAAAAAAAGAAATTTCCTATGTTAATTTTAAATTGTAGTATTAAAATATTCCAAACTAATTATGCCTCCAAATGCAAGATTTTGCTCATCTCTGCATTTTACTGGAGGCTTCCCTGTGAATGACAAGGCAGAAAATCACTATTGTGCATTACAAGACCATCACAAAGTTTTAAGTAGGTGGCTGGATTGAAGGCTACCTTTGAATATAAATTATATGAGCTCCCAATAAGCATAGTACCTATTACATGCAAGATGCTGGATACAGGGAGTGAGGGGAAAAAGAGCGTGAGGGAACTGAGTAGTAGCCCTGGTCATCTACTTACCCTTTCTTTCTGTTAGCTTTTACCATAATGATATATCTTTTTTTTTAAAGCTTTTTCTCTCTGGAAAAAAAAAATGTATTTATGTATCATACTCCAAACTTGCCACTCATCTCCCTGCTCTTATTTCCAAAAGGCAGTCATAATCATGGGGGAGAAGGCTTACTATTTCCAATGCACTCTATTTCACAGCTAATATAATTGATCTACCGTGTACTGAGTCCTCTCCCCAGGAGCCAAGAAGTGAACCACTTTTCGCAGGAAGAACAGCTCTTCTTACTTAGGTGGAATAATTTTAGTGAATCAGGCAGCCTTGGAAAGAACCACATTGACTCAGCTAAGAGAAAAAAAGCTGCCAAGTAGAACAGAACATGAGTGCTCATTCCTCCAAGAGAAAAAAGATGAAGCTGGTTTTCTAGAGTGAATTAGTAAAGTGGATGGTGACATGTGATGGCTGCCTGTGAGTGCTGGCTTCGCACGCAGCTTGGGGTACAGTACTGTTCATATCCACAGCATGTAACGAAGGCAGCTCTCAGCTCAACTGGCAAAATATGAATTACTGTAATGGATTAGTAACTAAGGAATTTGCTTTCCAAAATGAATTGCAGAGCTCATATGAAGAAAACGAACAGTCTGAAATTCATTCACATTGGTCCGTAAATGAGAAAATTTTGGCTCTAAAAAGTTGTATGTAAAAGATTTTTTTCTCAAGTGAAAATCCCAAATAAACATCAAATTTATAACTTTATTTTGAGGTATCTACAAATACACTATATCTAGTTTTTCAAAAGAAGCATGCTTATATTAGTTCTCACACTAAATTTTAAACACATGCACACACAAAATTCAAGAGAAAGAATTCTTTCTTCATTAGTGTGAAAGAAGTCACTTGAAAATAAATTGTATTCTGAGGAAGGAGGATGTAATATTCTAATTGTTTGAACTGCCAAGTGAAATTTTAAAACAAGTAGTAATTTTTAGCGAACATCACACATGCCCAGAGAATACAATACTGCCTCCTGGAGCTATGCAAGGAATTGTCCTGGAATAAACAATGCAAGGTATGAAATATAGGAGAAGATTAAGAAATAAGAATATTCACATAAAATTACTGCCTAGACTATGTGAATATAGATTTGGTTTCTGTTATTAATGCTCCAAATAATCTCAGTAATATAATAAAATGTACTCAATGATATTTTTTCTAAAACACTAATATATTTTCTATATGGCTTAATAAAACATCAAATCTATGGTCAAAGCAAATTATTTGAGAGAGCATAAGTCCTGGTGACTTCAGTGGAGAATATCTTTCAGGAAAAAAAAGAAAGTTCCTCATATCCAGTGTATCTTAATATTCAAACTGCTTGAATTAAATAAACATAATGCAGGAAGTATACATTTTATATGACAATCTTTACATGACAACTCAGGGAAAGATGATACTCCATGCCATACTTATAAATTCTGAATCTAAATTCATGATTTTAGTTAAGAAAGGAAACACTAATAAATTATCATATTATTGTCAATACTGTATTTGAGGAAAATTAAGGTTCTATACTCTTATCTACACTGCCTAAGAATAAATTGTGGAATAACACTGAGAATAAGTAGGATGTAATCTAAAGGCATTCTGTTTAACACACTGGGTTCTTTAACATAAACTGACATATTTCCCCACACATTTATAAGGCTTCATGGCTATTATTAGGCTGTAACTGTAGTTGTTCTAACACCTAATAAGCCATGGTTGGAAAAACAAAGGCAGGTTAATTTGTGATTTCCTCGACTCATTCAGAGGCAAATTAAGTGTCAAATAGCTAATACAGAACATATTTCATTTTATGAGATTTTAATTTAATTCTGCACTGTATCATTGATGCCTTAATACAGGGTGGTTTATCTAAAAATAAGATCAATTTATAAGCTTCTTCCAATAGAATCTTTAATGATAATATATGATAGCATAATTATTGCAGTGCCTGCCATCCTTCTAACAGAGACCTTTGAGCATTTCCATCATCAACATAAATCCTGGTTTCAAGACTTACAATTTAATTTTTTTAAAGTTAGCATCAGAAGAGCAATTATGTGGACAAAATAATGAGAATATCTGCAAATTTTCTTGTAATTAAAAATATTTATTCTAAAAGCTTAGTAAGCTCACTTGATCTCATTTTCTATCATACGATTATATAGCAAGAATTCTGGAATTCAATAATGTGATTTCAGGTCTGTGACTGCTCGTCTACTGTCTGCCAGACTGGGCAACTTGGGTGTCTGCCGAACACTTTTTACAAAGTACCTGGCCAAGTGCTGGGCAGTGTCCCCAAAGCTAACAGGGGCGGTGGCCACTAAACAATAAATGACCAGGCAAGAGGATCCCAGCTACAATAAAGGCACAAGTAAGGTACTGTGAGGAACAGCCAGCCAGCAAAGGTGAGGTCTTGAGGGTGAGGAGTTTAAGCAGGACCTTGCCATGTAGGGCCAGAAGTTCATTGAGGGCAATGCAGAAGAAATGGCATGTTATAAAGGCACAGAGGTGTGGCTTGCGCTAGCTTTCCAGAGCCTACTTCATAAATTCAATGTCTCCAGACAGGACCTGCTAGAAGGTCACAGACACCTGCTCTCACCATACTCTGTGCCCACAGTGACAACATTTCATCTCAGAACCTTCCCGGACTCTTTTGAGGCTCAGTATTATCTATAAGCTTTACATTAACAATCTTTGGAGGGCAATTTAGTCAACTACTGCTAAAGTATCCTAAAGCTTGGCTGGAAAAGCAGGAAGCACTAAAATTTGTAAAAGTCCTGGCTCAACAGTCATATCTGAAATGTAATCCCTTCCCCCAGGAGTCTCCAAACTCAACCTAAATGATCTTGTGGTATTTTTATCACTAGTGAACTAATACTACAGGCACAGCAATGAGGAGCTAGGACACATAGTGTGGACTATAGGAGGGTTTGCTGTTGTTAAATTCTGCCAAAGAACCAACTACTTGGGATTTTTATTGATAAATTCATATTTGAATTTAATTACAAAGGAACAAGAGGAATTGGTTCCTTTAGTCACATAAACTCATTTTTTGAAATTCTGTAACATGATTTTGAAAGAGTGAAAAACTCTGAAATTACATAGAAACACTGATTTAAATTACATCACTGCAGAGACTGCGGAGTCTGAGAGAGTCGGCCATGCAAAACCTCCGTGTAATGGGTGAATTACATTGTGGGCTTAAGCTGGAATTTGGAATTTCCTTCCCTTTGTATAAGGTGTTTTAAATTGGCTTCTTGGTTTGAGCGTATTTTTAGCAGGCTTTAGAACCCTGGAAATACTTGTGTTCCAGTGAAAAGTAAGAAAATAAGTCACAAGTTTCTGTATTCTCTCTCTATAAATACTTACTTCTCCTTTAATTCTTATAGAAGTCTGCAACACAGATTTATTACTTACCTCCAGGCAAATCTGCTTTGAAATTACAATTTAGTAATGGAAGATGGATCCAAAAAACTGTTGGTAAAATATTATATGTGTACTTGGGCATGTAGTTAGGGTTGTTAATATCAATTAATTCTGTTCACAGAGGAGGACTTGTTTTAAAACAACTTCATTTTTCTTTGGCATATATGTAATTACACAGCTATAACTAATAGCCATGGAAAAGCAATCTACCATCTAAATAACCAGCATTATTCTTCAAAGTATTATTTATGCTTTTCTAACTTTACTGTCTCAGAATGAAGGGTGATTACTACATAAGACTAAATATGCGTGTGTGTATCCATTCGTAAAGGGCAGCCTACCCCAGCAAGTGGTTCCAGTTATTATAGTATATGACAGTTTTCTGGACAGTACTATAAACACACACAAACACAGACATACACACAAATATTTTAGTTTGCAAGTCTACTATTCCTTTTCCCCCAAACTGGGTAAGATAATATTTATTTCCATAATATTTTCTTCTTCCTTTTCTAATGTATGTTATCACCACCATTCTTTTATCTTTGTGTAATGTGCTCAATCACATTTGCCATTTTTTGGGTGACATTCCCATCAATCAAGTTTCCCATAGAAATTTCATTACAATTCATGTGTTACCTAGGATGGGACTTTGACATAACAGAAATTTTAGCATGAAAAACTTCAAATCCATTCTCAGCCAGATACATATATTTTATGTGATAACCTTCCATTAGTCCTCTACTTTTTAATTTAGTATTTACAGTCCACAGAACACACGTCAGCAAAATATACAGGAAGTACTTGCCAGCCACCTACTATGACAGTTTTTCAGGAAGCGTTGCAGATTTGTTTCAGTGGGTCCAGGAATAGATAGGCCTGCTGTATTTCAAAAGTAAACCTGTACTTCTCTCACATGTTCAATGCCCAATAGCCATGTTTGAAACAAAAATTTCTGAGAGAGTAAAAGCTGGTATTTTGTTCTGTTTCATTACTGGGTTAAGTTTTAATACTTACACATGCAATGGAGGAATTGGAGATGGATCGTAATGGTAACGCCCCTCATGATGTCTTGCATCAATTGGCACAGGAGGATGGAATGCAGGAAACAGGTGAGGAGGGTCTGAAAAAGAAAAGTCCAACCTGTATAAAAGGAACACTTTGGAACAGAATTCCAATTCATGAAGCAACATTGCTATACTGTCTTCATGACTTATGCTGAACCTACTTTAAGAAATTGTGGAAGAACTCTTTCAAGTTCACTATGAGGCTTCACGAAGTACTGCAGAAGTATGACTCTACTAATACCTGCACCTGAGAAAGTAGAGCCTATGAGTGCAACCAAAACCCAAACAGGAAAGCAAGAAAGAAAAACACCTGAGCCCACCCTGAAAGGAAGGCTCGCCAGAATGAAAGGACTGAGTCACAAAACCAAAAGGAACAGATTGCAAGACACTTATTTTTTTTAAATATCACTGTCGGGTACATCTTAGACCAAGATGTAATATAAATACTAGTTTCATTTTTCCCATACCCATGATACCTTAAGGGAAGAAGTCCTTTCTAAAGTCCCTGCTAGAACCCACAGCATACACACATACCCTATATACATATACCACACATACAATGCATGCCACCCATACCCCACATACTACACATGTACACCATACATCCCCCCACATACCACACACTACCCATATACTTCACACACACATACCACATACCCCCCACATCACACACACAACACATAGTTCCCATATACCCACATACTCCAAACACACTACACATGTATACCACACACATATTCTACACACTACACATGCACACCAACACACATACTCCACATATACATACCCCACACATCCCACATACCACACATACACACAACACATAGCCCCCACACACCACAGACCTCACAGGCACTCCACATACACAATACACCCAAACACCCATATACCCTACACCACATGTATACACACCATGCACACATACCACACCCCCATCCAACACATACCATACCACACATACATATCCCAAATACCATACCACTCACACCACGTATCATACATACACTACACACAAGAAACACACACATCTTCTGTAATTTAAATGCATATTCTTCTTCTTATTGGCCTGGATTATGTCTCCATAGTCCTAACACTGGGGCAGCAAATGCATGAGTTAGCAGCAGAAATGCTATAAGGCCTGGCCACAGGAAAGAAACTGATCCTCTCAGACTGAAAAAAATGGTGATTTGAGGCAAACTAAGGCACCCCTACCCTTCAGCCCTAACATTCATCTTGGCCCCTGACCAGCCTCCCCTCCTGTTCTGATCAGGCTTGAGTTCACTGTTTCCTGGGTTCCTATGTACACACTTAACTTAAAATAGTTCCTCTACCCCCATTTACTTGTAGTAACTTAATGCTGGTTAACTCGTACAAATCTGGAAATACCTTTATCCTTAAATAGTGATTCACAGCAAAATCTGGGGCTTTGCTACATTTTATCATTGGAAGCACGGGTGTTATTTTATAATTGGCACTGAAGTTTTTTTCCCCAGTTTCAAGAAGCAAAGTAAAGGAGCTCAAAACCTGGAAATGTGCCTCCGCAACTGTCTGATTATTACAGAAAACAAACCCAACTTAATCTTCAATAGTACGTTTCACAAGTGGTAGAGCCTGCACGTAGCCATCATACTGCTACCGCCTGTGTACTGGCAATACTTCCAGGAACTGATGTGTATTGCCTCTGAAGGGCTTTGAGCCATTTCTACAAATCTGAAGATCTGCCTAGGCCTGAGGGTAGCAGGAAGTACAGGCAATTCCAAGTGAAGTACTGAGCAATGGCTGCAAGAAGCAACATAGAACTTTGTGCAGGGTGTATGCGTTCTGGGGTTTACTGTGGCAAACACAGGCAGGAGTATAACTGGTACTCCCCTCTAGAAAGTTCCTTAAATCCTAGTGGAGGACTAGTATGTGTGTATGTCTGGTGAATTCAGGTGATTCTCATCCCCTCCATACATTTCTCTTTTTTCTAAATCTTCAATAAGCATCTCTTAGAATATAAACATATAAACTTTTTAAAGTTATATCTTTTTCAATTTTGTTTGTTTTGTTCTTTATATATAGATTACACATATAAGTGAAATCATATGATATTTGACTTTGTCTGGCTTCCTCTTTTTCTTTTTTATGATATTAAAATATCTTCACATGAAATCTATATATAAAATAGAAACAGATTCATAGATGCAGAGAACTGACTGATGGTTGCCAGAGGGGAGGAGGTTTAGAAGGCTAGGTGAAAAAGACAATGGAATTAAGAAGTACAAATTGGTAGTCACAGAATAGTTACAAGGATGTAGAGTATAGGGAATACAGTCAGTAACATTGTAATAGTCATGCGTGGTGCCAGGTAGGTACTTGAAATGTTGGGGGAATCACTTTGTAAAGGATGTGACTGTCTAACAACTATGCTGTATACCTGAAGCTAATACAAAATAATAATGAATGTAAACTGTAACTGAAAGATAAAATTTTAAATAAATATATAGAATTATATCTCATTTCCCTGGTTTTGAACTTTTACCTGCCTTTAAGAATCTAATAATATGGTTATGAGAGGGGAAAATGAGTGGAAAATTATTAACATAGCATAGATAGAATTCAAACTGTGACTCCCATCAGATTTAGAAGCTAGAAACCTTGTGACTGCAAAAAGACTATTGTACTGAAAATGCCAATTACTCATGGTATTTTGTGTTTATTGTAAGATAAAAGGGGGAAAGTAACTATCTTGGAATTGTCATATCATTGTAGCTGTGATATCATGATGTGCAATAATGCTGGAGTTCAACAGGTGATGGTTATACTAACTGCCCGATCCTTTATCCCACTTTACACATTTATAGAGTCCAACTGAAAAGACCAATCATATTTTAAGTGCATCACTTAGAACTTAATATTAAAAGATGTCAGAGTTGTTTTTCGTAATAGAAGTCTGGATAATGGTCATGCCAAGTTTAAAAGTTTATCTCCCACTGTTGTCAAATTCAGTGACCCACATAACTCAGTAATTGTGTAGGGCCAAAATGTCCTACTTTATTTAACCATTTTCAATAAAAACTATTTATACTTATTAAAACAATATAAAATTAACCATGGATTAATCTTTTTCACTAGTTTGTAAGTCTGACACATACTCAGTGAATGTTTCCTGATTTTAAATCTTGAAATAGGCCCAAGTGAAATCAGATTCAAGTCTACGGTCAGGAGGATGGTCAGGAGGATGGCCAGGAGATACGGCTCTCTTTTCTCTTCCTTTCCTTTTAGCAGCTGCTCATGCAAACATGCTTGCCTCCAGCAGACTTCAAACTTAACACATGCCATTTGCTCTTGGAAATAAGAGAAATACACTTACTACAACTGTGTGTAAATCAAGTATTCATAAGGCCTAACCCACCTCCAAAAGTCTTCTTCCAAGTACCATTTTATATGGCCATCTTGAGGTAAATTGTGACTACATCAGAGTTGGAAGATATTTTTACTTCCTCACTTCTTTCCTATTGGCTATGTTCTGTGTGATTAAATTCTCTCCACTGAGTAAGTGGGTATTAACTGTACCTGATTTTCCCTATGTGGGTGCGCTTATGTATTATGACAAAGCACAAATCAACATTTTCCAAACACAAAGAGCTCAAAATGTGTAGGTTAATTCCACATTCAATATATGCTTTATAGATCCAGGAACTTACACTAGTTATTATATGAGTATTTATAATAGAATTACAGTGATTATGTGCACATGGGTGAACCAACCAGTTAATCCCTATAAAATCAAGAGAGTATACCCAAGCATTGTAAAACTCTCTTCCCCAAGAAAATCTTGTAATACTGTCACGGGTATTTAAAAGGTGTTGCCATCTTTTAATTTTAAGAAATTATTCTAACTGGATTTTAATTTACTGTCTTTCTCTGTCTCTTACCCTCTCTCCATCTTTGAGAAAGTGTAAATGACCAAGCACTGTAAAAACATGTGAGAAGAAAATATAAAACACAATTACTGTAGTCATTTCTCACTGTTGTGTGTTTTGTGAGTATAAAAGTTAATTCTGACTCTGCCAGTTTGTGATGCATCTTATAGCACCACTTGCACAGTGTTTACTAGTGTCCCAAGGAAATTTATGAATTCTGCATTCTAGAATTAAGTTAAATAAACAACAAAAAATTAGTTATGATCTGACTTGACCAAAGACCCCCAGTTTTACTTGAAGAATTTTACTATTTATATTTGTTTCCCTCTTGATTTAGTTTAAAATAACTTCTCTTGGACTGCTGAAGTCTATACAATTATACCTTACATCAGTTTTCAGTGAAAATCAGACCTCTCAAAAACAAAAAAAAAGAAAAGAAAATCAGACCTCTTAAGCCACTTTCTGAGAAAAGGCAATGGAACGTCTCTTCCAATTAAAGACACACTTGACCATAGCTTACCAGTATAAACAAATAGTAAAAAAGCAGAATGGAAATGCCTTTTAATATATGTGGCATCACATGACATTAGTCCTAAGAAAAAGAAAAAAGGCTTAATCTTCAAACACCAAACGCTTCTCTTGCATCTTGGCTTGTCGTTTCTGTGTGGAAGGCAAGCTACGTATTCCATCACAGGCCCAAGAAACTGTCCAAAAAAACCCATATGACAAGAGCAGGCCCATGTCGCCAGCAGCCACCATAATTATCCACCTCACAGTTTATTATTTACACATGAGCAGCGCAGCTGTGGAGCATCATAACTCAAATGTATGTGTAATAAGTCACCGCACCACAGCCATCTCCTGTTCTGGCCCTTGACAAAACACCACATGATGACTTTTCCAAACTCCGGTTAAAACTGCTGAAGCAGAAGGAAGTGCCACTAAACCCAGCTACCTTCTATTTATCATACAATTTCCTGACTGATGGTTCCACAAACCAGCTGCTAAGTGCTGTGTACTCTACTGTCAGCAAACTAACGCGCTAAATGGAAGACAGGGAGAGTAATGTGCAGAACTAGTGGAATCAATTGCACTGAGGGAATTAAAATTCTACCAGGTGGGGTGAGTCTGTAGAGTAGTGGTATAACCAA